GGATGTATTATTCACTCATTAAAATGCAATCTCACATATTTCCTTCCATGTTCGTTATAGTTAAGTGGGATCGCTTTACCAACGAATATTATTGGTTCATCTATCAATTCAATATGTTGATTTTCTGAATTAAAAGTAAGAAATTTTTAATTCATTTTTGGGACATGCATGGTTTCACCACAGTCAACAAGCAAAACCATTTTTTTGTAAATGGTATCTAGTCCAATTGAAAATAGAAATGAATGTTACATGAAAAGATGTTCCACATAATTTTTGAAAAGTTTTTTGTTTCTGCATTAATTACTTTTATGTCCAGGTTTGCAACAAGCAAGGCAGATAATATATTTGTATATAGGATTGGAATTATAGTGTTTTGATGGGAAATTTACTTCAGCAGTCAGGGCTTTTTATGTCTAAGTTTACCACAAGTAAAATCTGTGGGAACATTAGTTTGTGGATTTGGTTTAAGCATTTTGAGAGTCATTACGGTATTTTCATATATATATATCTCAAATCATATTTTCAGAGAAGGTTTTCATATCTGCTCCTTTGAATTCACTAAATGTTAGTAGCTTGTCTTTCTGAGTAATAACAGTTGTAAATGGCTTGAAATAGAATGGTAGGTTTTTAGGATCGTGGCAATTAGTAAACCAACACCAATAAATTATAGAAATCTTTAATAAAGGGCCAATTTTTGGCTGTCAATAACATAATCAGTAATAGTTTAAAGCTTTGAAACTATATATATACTGATGAAATATAAAAAAAAAAACATGGCAAAAATGAAATAATATCAAGTAAAACATATATGCAAAGCAAATTAACGTTAATAAGAAGGCAAAATGTTTTAACTATGAATTCTGTTCTGTTTACAAAGCAAAAAGGTCAGACAAGTGAATGAAGTGACCTGTCTTCTGTATATAGATCTGGATATATATATATTTACCTATATCCCATAATATATATATATATACAAGACTGTTTTTTTATATGAGGCGAATCTGAGTCTAAAAGCTTGGACAAAAATTCCCCAATCACCCCGCATACATGAATGGATTTGTCTACCTCAAATTATGTTTTTGACTCTGCCCATAACCATAGTAAATTTAAAAATAAGTTTCTCCCAAATTTGAGAAGGATGAAATGGAACTGAATTGGTCATTGGAATTAAATGTCAAAATTAAATTGGCCTTTTTATTGGCATTTTTGAAAAATATTAGAAGCATGCAGCGAAAAAACATATTTATAAAGTCAATATATATATATATATATATATATTATATATATAAATATATTTCATCTATCTATGTGAATATCTATCTGGTATCTGTGGTATATCTATATCTATGTTCCTCTTGGATTAACATTCAATGTGGGACCATTGATATTTCATTGAATGAATGGAAGGATTTGGGAGTTTAGGACATGTTTAGTGTTTGTATGATACACCTAATTTACATAAGCGGACTACCGACCATATAAATATGGGTTGGTACCGGAAGACAGGGGGAAGATAGTAGAGATTAAGAAATTGAATCCAGAGACTCTGCCCGACTGCGATTTAGTCAACCCATTATGCAGGAACAGTCTTCCCAAGAATATACCAAACTAACTGTAAATATTGTGTACCTATTCTTTGTTTCAATACATTTTGTTAACGTACATTTTGTGTTGTATTATTCCATGCTTATTTAAGCTTCAACATTTACAATAACGCGACAAAAATGTTCGCAATCCAGCATTCTCTTTTGCTGTCCATGTGTATCCACTACACGGAGTCGAATAAATATCACATTGCAGTAGACAAACATTAGCGTCATTACTGGTTTCAGATAACAACAAAATAAAACGTAGGTAAGATAAAAAGAAATGTGTTCAAACATCCAACCTCGCAATGAATTCGTAAAACTGAAAACTGAATCGATCTACCGTCGGTATATCTCCTTATAATTCTGTTTGTTCTTCTGTTAGTTTTTTTCACTAACACGTACATTCCAACCTGCCACTACCTCATAAATAATGCTGTTTTTATCCGGTGGAAAGACGGAAAAGACATATCAGTGACGCTGTTTGATTTTTATGAGTTATAGAAAGAAATGAAATGGTTAAGGTCTCCTGCCTATATCTCATAAATAATAGACTATACTGTTTTTATCGGGTGGAAAGACGGAAAAGACATATCAGTGACGCTGTTTGATTTTTATGAGTTATAGAAGGAAAGGAAATCGTTAAGATCTCCTGCCTATATCTCATAAGTAATAGACTGTTCTGTTTTTATCGAGTGGAAAGACGGAAAAGACATATCAGTGACGCTGTTTGATTTTTATGAGTTATAGAAGGAAAGGAAATCGTTAAGGTCTCCTGCCTATATCTCATAAATAATAGACTATACTGTTTTTATCGTGTGGAAAGACGGAAAAGACATATCAGTGACGCTGTTTGATTTTTATGAGTTATAGAAAGAAAGGAAACGGTTAACGTCTCCTGCCTATACCTCATAAATAATCGTTTATACTGTTTTTATCGCGTGGAAATCCGGTAAAAAAGACGTTAATTTATTTCAATGAGACCGTGAAAGAAAGAATAAAGGAAGCGAATATTTAACGTGTTTCAGTAAAAAGTCAAAAAAAAAAACAAAAAAAAACGTTGTCATTTGCAAATCTTTTCATTTGTACCCCCTTACTTCTTAAAATAACGACCAACATTAATATTTATGATTGTTATTGCAATATTTTGTTTAGCTGAAATATTTAAAGATGCCGTCGAGGAGATCCTAAGGATATTTTATTGTCGAAGTGATGATAAGTTTATTCAATCATTAACTGAAGAATTAAAAATCATCAGAAATTTCAAACAAGAAAACGCTGAAGAATTAGTGGCAATAAATTCATATTCTTCTATGTCTTGTTTTCTATCAAGATGTGGTCGACCATGGCTCTCTACATCATCCTATCCATTGCGGTTTTTAGTAATGTTTGTCTTTTTCTCATATATCCTTCTGCTATCCATTATCAGGTAGGAAACACGCTATCTCTCCCTGTTCGTATTGTGTTCAGTACGTCCTGTGAATGTCAAATTTTCCAAGCCTCCCTTCCTCATTATCTGAACCAGAAAATTCAGTTCTCTTTTTTCTAATTCTGATATAAGTTTTCAACTTTATTTAAATTTTCGTTTAGTCTCCCTCGTTGCTTACACGCCCTGAATATAGCATTCTCAACATCCTTCTGTAGAACCACATTTCCATTGTCGTAAGTCTTCTCTTCATTTGTGAAGGAATTATGCATAAGTCACTGCCATATACGTAATGTGGGAGTTTTTTTTTTAAATTTTTAATGTAAGGTTCACTCTTTACAAAGCCCGGAAGTCACTCGAGTAGAGGGTTACATTTGAAGGTAGTTTTTACCTATAGGAAACGGTTAACCCTAGACTTGAACAGTTTAAGATTGAAGTAATCGTGGAAACATCCTTACGGGAGTCGGTTTCACAGAGCAGAGGTTCGCAGGATGAAGCTGTTCGACTGGAACTTCTCGCCATTGGAATACGGGGGGAATGTAGGTAGTTTGGTACAATCTTAAGTGGAATGGTCGATTCTAGCCGTGAATGTGAAAATGAGATGTAGTACGGAATTTTACCGCTGCCCTTTGAGCATTATCTTATCTGAGATTTCTATAGATATTCGTATCCAAACAACTACTTTGGAGGTAGACCCCGTGTGTAGAAGTTGATGGATTTTATGAATTGTCAATCCTTGGTTTATGTAATATCAAATTTTGTACGGGGCACCTAGTGAGTATCAAACTCCTTACCAATGTTCAGTCAGATTACCCCACGCCTTACGGCTAAAGGTTAAAACTAACGTCTTATCGCATTGAAATACTAAATCGCCTTTTGCCATATAAAGTGTCTAAAAGCGAATCGTTTTCTACGGCTTATGAAACCTTTCAGTTTATTTAAAGTGAGAAAATATTGTTAGATTGTAAGAAATGTATTCTTTCATTGCTTTTTATAGTAACCTTCACCCTGAAAATGGCCCGGGGGCCACTCAAGGTAGAGGCTTGCGTTAGGAGGCTGTTTTTACGGATAGGAGAGGAAAGTCATGGTTATCCCTAGACTTGGACAGGTTAAGATTGAAGTAATCGTGGAAACATCCTCATGGGAGTCGGTTTCACAGAGCAGAGGTTCGCAGGAAGAAGCTGTTCGACTGGAAATTCGCGCCATTGCAATACGGAGGGAATGTAGGTAGTTTGGTACAATGTTAAGTGGCATGGTCGATTCTAGCCGTGTGAAGGTTAGACTTGATGGAGTTCATCCGGGAACTTTCCGAAAAAGAAGCTGTATATCAGCTACAACCTTGCCACACCCTGACTGCGTGGGAGAGGTTGGAGGTTGGAAAAATAATTTATCACCCACAAGAACTCGGAGACGCTTTTGGACTCTAAAAAAAAAAAAAAAAAAAAAATTGGGAATGTAAAAATCAGATGTTGTACGGAATTTTACCGCTTCCCTTTGAGCAGTATCTTATTTCTATAGATATTTGTGTCCAAACAACTACTTTAAAGTAAGTTAGACCACCGAGTGTAGATGTTGGTGGGTTTTATGAATTTTTAATCCTTGGTTTATGCAATATCAAATTTTTGTACGGGGCATCTATTGAGGATCAAACTCCTTTCTAATGTTCAGTCAGATTACCCCACACCTTACAACTAAAGGTTAAAACTAACGTCTTATCGCATTGAAATACTAAATCGCCTTTTGCCAAATAAAGTGTCTTAGCCAATTTCCTAGTTCCTCGTGAGATAATTTTATGAATGGTTTGCCGTCATATATTTTATCAAATATATGGAAGCAAACGAACCACTCAAGAAACATCTGTTCAGCTTGCGTGAAGACAAACTGAACTCCCTTAAGGGTAGAAGAAATTTACAGCTCTCTAGGGGTTTCGCAGACCCCTCCTTGAAGACCTGGACATGTAACGAGTAACACCAAAGAACCCATATATTCTAATCAGCGAGACTAACTTCTGTCGAAGAAATATTTGTCCGTTGCCCGTAAGTAACTAGCTTCGATGTTGGATCTACCAAAAACGTATTGATACAAGTCTGCCTCTTTTTCTCTCCCTCTTCACTACACTTGTAGTCGGTGCCCGGAGAAAATGCATTTGGAAAGCAAGAAAGACCTTCCGGGGTTTGATGTTGAGTGATGTCCTCTGATCTAGAAAGGGGAGCAGTGAAGAGTTGTTAATCAAACGTCTGACAATTTCCTGTCAGGAAGAATCTTAGCCCTCTCCAAAATCTCCCTGGGAGAAAAGGTGCTTTCATTAGCCGACTTGCTTCGATTCCAGAACTGGTTGTTTATAGATTATCCGTGGCGTACACATGATTTCATGGTCTGTTGCCTCGTAATACGGTATTTAGAGTAATTCCGGATAATTCTTGCAATATTTCGGTGGTGGGTGGACTGAAACTTAAGGCTGTAATTTTCGCATCCTAGCCCGAGAGCGTCACAGAATCAAAATTATATCGATGCAGTTAGGAGACGATAATCTTTAGGAATAGTCGCAAGCGGTTAATATGACTGTATTCTGCTAGATGCTTTATGAATTCTATTATTTGCAGAGATTTAATAATTGTGTTTTTGTGCGATGCGTAAAGTTCCCTCAAGAACGGATACGGTGAGAAAATTATTGATATTTTCTTTCGCCATAATAATAAAAAAAAAAGACCGAAAATATCAACACCTAAAAGGAGAACATTTCCAAAGTGGTGAAATACAAAGGTGAGAGTAGTGCCGGTTTTTACTAGAGTACTTGGAACCGCTCCAAGAATTTACCAAAATGTTAAATCGCTGGAAATCCGAGGGCGACTAGGGACGATCCAAATGTCAGCAATACTGACACACCTACAATACGACAGAAAGAGATTTACTGTCACTGAATATCCAATGAAAGCCATTAATAAAAATATAATAATGATAATAATAATCTATTGTTAAATTTCTCTGAATAAATCTGACAATTTGGATAAAAAGAAGACAATTGGAAAATATATTTCTTTGTCATTGCCGACGACTTTCGTCAGTCAGGCTTTATGAAGGCAAGTTTAAAAGCGAAATGTTTTTTAGTTACATTAAATTCAAAATATTAAAAAGGGAACGGTCCTGTGTAAGCCTCGTTCTGGATGCTGGTAACTTTTAAAAAAAATATTATATTTGTATATTATTTTATTATTTATATATTTATATATTTTATTTTTTTATATTTTGAATTTAATGTAACTAAAATCATTTCGCTTTTAAACTTGCCTTGATAAAGTCGGAGAATTTAACAAAATGTTAAATAACGAGGGCGATTAGGGATTATCCAAAAGTCAGCAATACTTGTCAACACCTACAATACGACATTAAGAGATTTACTGTCACTGAATATCCAATGAAAGTCGCTTATGATACTAGAGTAAAATTAAAATAATAATAATGATAATAATAATAATAATAATAATAATAATAATAATCTATTTTTAAATTTCTCTGAATAAATCTGAAGATAAGACAATTTGGATAAAAATAAGAAAATTGGAAAATATATTTCTTCGTCATTGCCGACGACTTTCGTCAGTCCGACTTTATCAAAGCAAATTTAAAAAGGCGAGAAGCCACTAGAACGCAAGGTGTTACAGAAAATTTGGAGCAAGACCAGATAGGAGTGATAGCAGAAAGGATGAGAAGAAGGGTAGTGGAATAGATCAAGGCAACTGGAGATGTCGATTGACATTACATTTGAATAGCTGGAGATTATAGCTCTCAGGGAAACTAGAATAGGGAAGGGAGTTCCAGAGACGAGAGGTGCGAGACATGAAGCCATTGGAGTAGAAGAGACGGCTACATTTAGGAGTTTCGACAGTGAAGGGGTGAGAGCGGGATGCCAGCCTCGTAGGGCGCTTGAACTCATGAAGTCTGGGAACCAGCGAATACAGCTCCTCGGAGCAATTGCCATGAAAGTATTTGTAAAACAGACAGAGAGTGGCGACGGGGCGTCTGTGAGAAAGTGTCTGTAGACGAGATGCCAGAGCAGGGCCAATTATATTGCATATCCGCCTCTGGAGCCTATCAAGAACCCCAAGGCAAACAGAAGGGGCTCCAGACCATATATAGCAGTAATACTCCATGCAAGGGCGAATTGTTGATTTGTAGATCTGGAGGATCGATTCTGGGGAGGAAAATTTCCGGGCGCGGCACAGGGAGCCAATTTTCCTTGCGGTGGACGAACCAATTGACTCAATGTATTACATTAAATTCGAAATATTAAAAAGGGAACGTTCTTGTGTAAGCCTCTTTCTGGATATTGGTAACTTTTCTTTTTACCTCGCAACCTTGCCAGCATTTGCCTTTTTCTACCTCCATTTATATAGGTCTCAAATATGAATTAAATACAACTGACTACTAAAAGATGACAGATTTTTGGAGATGATGACGTCATTCTTGTTACTGGTAACATATCAACGTTTTTGTCTCTGGTGTCAATCGGAACTTATATCTGCCATTTTAACTCTGAACTGGACATATATCTATAGTAAATTTCAAAGAATAATTTTGAAGATAAGACAATTTAGATACAAATATGACAATTAGAAAATATATTTCTTAGTCATGTCCGACGTTATCAAGGCAGATTTTTAGTTATATTAAATTCAAAATATAAAATAATAAAAGCTATAAATAATAAAATAATATATAAAAAAAATATTTAAAGAAACTTGCCAACATCCAGAACGAGGCTTACACAGGAGTACTCCATTTATATTTGAATTTAATATAACTAAAAACAATTCGCTTTTAAACTTACCTTGATAAAGATTGACGAAACGAGCCAGAAAGGACTAAGAAATATATTTTCCCATTGTCTTATTTTTATCCATATTGTCTTATCTTGAGTAATATTTTGAGAAATATAACAATATGACGGCATGGAAAACAAAAAAGAAATTCTTAGTAAAAGAAAAAAGTTACCAATATACGGAAGGAGGCTTATAGAGGAGTGTTCCGTTTTTAATATTTTGAATTTAATGTAACTATAAAAAAACATTTCGCTTTTAAACTTGCGTTGATAAAGTCGGATTGACGTAACACATCGGCAATGATTCAGAAATATATGTTCCAATTGTCTTTTTTTCATCCATAATAATCTATGTCATAATTGTAAACTACGGAAGGTTATTGAATAGAATAATAGAACGAAGGATGGTAATGAACGATAATACATAGGAAAAGAAAAACACGTAGGTTCGGCCAAAAATTCTCCGTAGATTTTGTATTTTCGGGGTTTTATATTCTTTTTCGAGTCGAATTCTGCCCTTCGATATAACATCGTCTAAAGATCCTCTCTGCCCAGACATTATATATTTATATATATATATATACAAATCTCCAAATGCAGACCACCATACAGTATTTATTACTGTATTTATGTGAAAGGCGACATAATCGTCCGTAGGTATGCTACAACAAAAAAAAAATGTGCTTGTCCCACCCATTAAAAAGTTAATTAGTATCCTTTACTACGTATATACATTTCAATACTGAATAAACAATAGAATATGAAGATTGATCGCATGGAAAGAGGAGGAAATACACTACTTGGTTTCACTGAGAAAATGAAAGTAAGTAAGACGGAAGTAAGGAAGAAGGAATATTGTCTAATATCATTAGCTCATAAATAATAGATTTTTCAGTTTTGTTTGCATTGAAAAAGAGGAAAATACACTTCTTGGTTTCAGTGAGAAAAAGAAAGAAAGTAAGAAGTAAGCAGGGAGGAAGGAATATTGTTTAATATCAATACCTCATAAATATTAGACTTCTCAGATTTGATAGCGTTGAAAAACAGGAGAATACACTACTTGGTTTCAGTGAGAAAAAGAAAGAAATTCAGAAGGTAGCAAGGAAGAACGAATATTGTCTAATATCAATACCTGATAAATAATAGACGTTACAATATTGATAGCGTTGAAAAAGAGAAAAATACACTTCTTGGTTTCAGTGAGAAAATGAAAGAAAGTAAGAATTAAGCAAGGAAGAAGGAATATTGTCTAATATTAATACCTCATAAATAATAGACTTTGCAGTTTTGATATCGTTGAGAAAGAGGAAAATACACTTTTTGGTTTCAGTGAGAAAATGAAAGAAAGTAAGAAGGAAGCAGGGGAAAAGAATATTGTTTAATATCAATGCCTCACAAATAATAGACTTTTCAGTTTTGATAGCGTTGAGAAAGAGGAAAATACACTACTTTGTTTCAGTGAGAAAATGAAAGAAAGTAAGAAGGAAGCAAGGAATAACGAATATTGTCTAATATTAATATCTCATAAATAATAGACTTTGCAGTTTTGATAGCGTTGAAAATGAGGAAAATACGATACTTGGTTTCAGTGAGAAAATGAAAGAAATTCAGAAGGTAGCAAGGAAGAACGAATATTGTCTAATATCAATACCTGATAAATAATAGACGTTACAATATTGATAGCGTTGAAAAAGAGAAAAATACACTTCTTGGTTTCAGTGAGAAAAAGAACGAAATTAAGAAGGAAGCAGGGAAGAAAGAAGTATTGTCAAATATCAATACCTCATAAATAATAGACTTTTCAGTTTTGATAGCGTTGAAACAGAGGAAAATACACTACTTGGTTTCAGTGAGAAAATGAAAGAAATTAAGAAATAAGCAAGGAAGAAGGAATGTTGTTTAATATCAATACCTTATAAATAATAGACTTTACAATATTGATAACGTTGAGAAAGAGGAAAATACACTTCTTGGTTTCAGTGAGAAAATGAACGAAAGAAAAAGGAAGCAGGGAAGAAAGAAATATTGTTTAATATCAATACCTCATAAATAATAGACTTTTCAGTTTTGATAGCTTTGAAAATGAGGAAAGTACACTACTTGGTTTCAGTGAGAAAAAGAAAGACAGTAAGAAGGAAGCAGGGAAGAAGGAATATTGTCTAATATCATTACCTCATTAATAATAATCTTTTCAGTTTTGATTGCGTTGAAAATAAGGAAAATAGAGTACTTCTTTTCAGTGAGAAAATGAAAGACAGTAAGAAGGAAGCAAGGAAGAAGGATTATTGCCTAATATCATTACCTCATGAAGAGAAAAATGCTCTAGTTGGTTTCAGTGAAAAAAATGAATTATAAAAGAATGATAGAAAGAAAGAACGGAATTTGTACCCGCTTACTTCTTAAAATAACATCCCGCATTCATATTTATGATTGTTATTGCTATATTTTGTTAAAGTTATACGTCAAATATTTAACAATGCGATAACGGAATTTCTATGGATATTTAACTTTCGTAGATTTCGCCATAGTCTTTTTTAACTGAAGAATTAAATAATATTCATAAGAAAGTTCAAATTTCACGGTTCTTTTTAATCATAATGAGTTGACAGATAAATATAGACAAGAAATAATCAGAGATAAATAGATATATAGATAGATATAAACAAACTTATATATGTACAAACTTAGACAGATATGAACAATCTTAGATAGATAGATAGATAGATAGATAGATAGATAGATAGATAGATAGATAGATAGATATGAAAACAGTAAAAATAGAAAACTGCAAAGATAGATAGATAGCTTATGAAACAAACTTAGATATGAACAAAGTTAGGTAGATTTGAAGAAACTTAGATAGATAGATAGTTAGATAGATATGAAGAAACTTGTATATATATATATATATATATTATATATATATATATATAGATAGATAGATAGATAGATAGATAGATAATGAACAAATAAAATATAGATAGATAGATAGATAGATAGATAGATAGATAGATAGATAGATATGACCAAACTTAGATAGATATGAAGAAAGATAGATAGATAGTTATGAACAAACTTAGATATGAACAAAGTTAGGTAGATTCGAAGAAACTTAGATAGATAGATATGAAGAAAACTTGTATATAAATATATATATATATATATATATATATATATAGATAGATAAAACAATTTTATAGATAGATAGATAGATAATAGATAGATAGATAGATATGAATAGATATCAATAGAATAAATAGATAGATAGATAGATAGATAAAATGACATATTTGGAAATTTTAAAAAAAACATTTAAAAAATGAGAAAGAGAATGAGAGTTGTTCAAAAAAAAGGAAAAGAAAAAATCAATATGAAAAAGAAATGAAGGAAATTTTAGAGAACGAAAAAAATGGGAAAAGTGTATAAACGTAGAAGGGAAAAAAAGGAAGAGCAAAATCTGAATATGAACAATGGGGAAATAATAATAATAATAATAATAATAATAATAATAATAATAATAATAAATATCAATATCTAACTGGAATATCTGCAACTTCTATTTTTCTGAAACCGAAAGAAACTGGTATGAACACCAACCAGACCTGGTTACGGAGATAGGACCTGTTACAATTCTATGGGCCTATACTACACACTGACAGAACAATCAAAGTCAACCGCCCAGATATTGTTATTAAAGACCACAAACAAAAAGAGTGCCTCTTTATTGATATGGCAGTCCCTGCTGACTGCAATGTATCTTTGAAGATATTAAAAAAAACTGTCAAAATACAAGGACCTTGAAATAGAAATCTCAAAAATGTGGTATATGGGAACATCGACAATCCCTGTTGTAGTTGGAGCCCTAGGACTGGTTGGAAAAGATTGCATTGGACTAATTGAAGGGATTCCTGGAAGTCCATGTCTCAAGGAGATACAAAAAATTTTTCTGACAAGTACAGCCCACACTTTACGAAAGGCTTTATCTATGTAATTTTTTTTTTTTTTTTTGTCAGTGGATGCCATTTCTAACCTTAGATCCCTGGGCGGGACCCGGAAAGAAATGTGTAAACGCCAGAAATCAAAATAATAATAATAATAATAATAATAATAATAATCAGCCAGAGAAGGTTAAGATAAACGAGCAAGTCAAAGTTTTGTGACGTTTCGATTTGCAAATTGACCGAAATCATTGCTTGAAGACGAAGAGACGTGTACTTGTCTTTCTCAAAGGCAATCGTCTAAAAGTGATTTGACGGAAAAGTCATCGTTTAAACTCGGCACGCCAATAGCATTCTTTTGGCGTCGATAACTGCTATAATACCTGCACATATAATGCTACGAAGGGAATCGAAATTAACATTAAATAAAGGCTAAGGAAGAATTAATAAGTGACAATAATAATAAAAAAGAGCAAATGAATGCCAATCAAAACCAATAATATACTTCATGAAAAGTATTTACTAACGTTAAATCAATGGTGTACTAGACAGTCGCTCGGATTGATGAATCGGAGAGCAGGGTTTGAATCCCATTATGCGTTCATATTTGTTTACGCGCTAATACATTTGGGAAAGGTTTGAATCTATTTATCCCCCAGCTATGGGTAAATAGCAAAACTGATTGGGATAGCCTTGTAGCCTTGGCAACCTGTTTAAGAACTCTGAATACAAACTTCCCTTGCCACCGCTAGTATATTTCGCTGCATTACATGTAGTGCCCCTATAACTCTAATAGTTTACGGGTCTCGTCATCGTGAGTTACCCCAGTATGGAACAAGCAGCGGACCATGTGTTGATTCAGCTCTCTTTACTAGAAAATAGTAGCGTTACAGAATGTGTAGCCTGAACCAGAATGGCAAGTTACTGGCGAGAACCCTTTTACCCCGAAAAGAGTGGACTGGTTTTGAACCCCGTTGGTTGGCAGTAATAGATTGGCTTTGCTTAGGGTTCCCTATAAGACCTAAAAAAGGCGCGAAGAGTTAGAAGCGAAGAAGGCTGGAAAAATTAGACAGGTGACGACGACTAGCAGCACGCAGAATTCATAGTGAGGCAAACCAGCACGTGGCGATGAGAATTTGTTATATCAACAGTGGGTATATATGATGAATTAATGTGCCAAGCCGATTCTTCTTGTTTGATAAATTATCTGAACTTGGAATTGTTTTCGCCGTTTCTTTCTACTGTTGCTCTTAATTTTATTCAAAAGCATGTCTCCCAAGCCCACTATTTGGTGAGGGCGGAGGATTGGCCGTTAATCCCCACCACCCCACCAGGTCGATGCTTGGACTTAAGGTAAGCCGTACATTCACTTGTTATCATGAGGGAGAAAGCAGACAAACACTTGTTGCCCTGTGTGAGTATAATTTCGCTGTACCGAAAACTCATTTTAATTTTTTCTATTTTTATTTCTTTAATTCTTTATTTTTTTTAATCCTTAAATTTTATTTTATTTTATTGTATTTTTTTCTCCCCCTACTCGTCAGCGTGTTTGCCCATAGTAACACATTTTCTGGCATCTCGTCTACAGTCACTCTTTCACAGACGCGCCGTCGCCTGTCTGTCTGTTTTACAAATACTTTCATGGCAATTGCACCGATGAGCTGCATTCGCTGGTTCCCAGACTTCATGAGTTCAAGCGCCCTACGAGGCTGGCATCCCGCTCTCACCCCTTCACTGTCGAAACTCCTAAATGTAGCCGTCTCTTCTACTCCAATAGCTTCATGTCTCGCACCTCTCGTCTATGGAACTCCTTTCCCTATTCCATTTTCCCTGAGAGCTATAATCTCCAGCTATTCAAATGTAATGTCAATTGACATCTCCAGTTGCCTTGATCTATCCACTACCCTTCTCCTCATCCTTTCTTCTAACACTCCTATCTGATCTTGCTCCAAATTTTCTGTAACCCCTTGCGTCCTAGTGGCTTCCCGCTTTGCTTGGGGTGAAACGCTTAAAAAAAATTACTACTTTCCTTGCGATACCTAATCCTTGTTTCTGGGTGTATAATGAAATTTGTTTGGACTTGAAAAATATTGCGTCATCCGTGATTGCATCAGATTTTTATCATGCCCAGACACTATTGTCTAAACTGTCGATTAGTTGTCCTAAGGCCATTGCTTGCGATGGACGTTCTTCCAAAGAAGCGTACGAAAATTGTAACAAATACACGAATGTTTTATAAAGTTTTACCAGTGAGCAAATCAGAGTACTATCGACTAGTTTGGAAACTCTTCTGATTTAAATCCAATCGAGAATCTATTGTCAATCTGCTGGGAACGATTTCGTTGAATGGACATACGAAGTACTGACATGTGCACTGGCTCATGTTTTTTTTTTAGAAAAATCTTACTTATTATCAAACGCAGATTGTGTGTGTGTGTGTGTGTGTGTGTGTGTGTGTGTGTGTGTGTGTCTGTACGTTGGATCGGATTTTCTACATTTTTTAACCGATTTCAACAAAACTTCACAGGACTACGTAAAATTACCTTGCGGTAGTTCTGACAGCACCCAAAATTGGAAAAACACAATTGTTTTTGCACGAAATCAATTTGAAAACACGATAAAACACAATTCTGTCGCCAGAATGAAAGGGGAACAACTCATATCAAGTTATACTTATTATAAAAACCCAGGTTGCTTGTGTGTGTGTGTGTGTGTTCGTTTATATATGGGATCGGATTTCCTACATTTTTCAACCGATTTCAACAAAACTTCACATTTTTTTGGCAGGTAGTGTTTCTTATTGTCTTGCACATTTTTTTCTTTATTTTTTACATTCAGAATGCTTTAAAAATTCCATTTACAAGACAATTGTTTATAATAAAATTCTATTCAATCGATAGACTCATAACAATGTTTTTGTTTGAGTTTGGGTTTGACCAATTCGTAAAAGAAACCCCAAAAAACAAAACCAATTAAGACATGCGTGTCCGTCAACCTTAAACAATAATCTTTATCAATTTTATTTTTCAACCTTTATGATGGTCGATACTTGATCTATCTCTTACTGTTACATCCCCGGGTAACGCCGGGCTCTACTGCTAGTATGAAATAAAGTAAAAAAAAACAAAAAAACAAACAGAATTAATATTTTTTTGATTAATTTGCACAACGGTGTATGTTCAATTTTCTATTCTCTTATACTAAATTTGTTATAACTGATACATACATTTGAATATACGAAGTGTTTGGAATTTATTATATCATCACCGGATTTGTATGATGAATTCAATTTATTTATTTTTATCTTTTGATTCATAATGCTTGTTTTGATTTTCTTGATTTGGCAACGTTTGCCAAAAAAGCCGTAATTTTTTGAAGAATGGAGCAAATTATACAGAAATAACGATACTAATATTTTTTTTACAAAAAAAAATGAGTTTTTTTTTTTTAAAGACAATTCACCCCAAACCAAGCACTAGCGCGCAAGGGGTTACAGAGGATTGAGAACAAGAGTAAAAGAGGCGTGTTTGGGGGAAAAGAAACAGAGAAGGACGGGGAGCAACCCCAGGGGATCAGATGTCGATTGACATTACGCATCAACCGGTTGACATTCGTGCACCCTATCGTCTCCCTCACGTCTTCTCCAAGAAACAATGGAACAACTTCTACGTGTAAGGGTGCACTACTAGCTGAACATGAGAGTGATCGAAACAGGCAAACCCTTAATTTAAATTCGTGTTGCTGATACGATATTAGTCGCAATTTCGTTACACTGAATCTTGGAATGCAATATTAGTAACATTCAAAAAGACGTTAGGAGTGCAATTAGATTATTGTCCCTATATAGTTCAGTTTAATATCCCATCCGTCGCTCCCGGTACCGTTGATTTATTTTAACTGTAGATATGTAAAATCAATTCATTCCATACGATAATAAAAACTTTAACAAGTTAAAACCTAACCACATCAAACATATTATTAATGTTTTTCTTTTTTTCTTTTTTTGTTGTTGTTTTGATTGAGTAGTATAAGTTAGATTTGGAGGACAAGATTACATTTTTAATTGGTGCAAAGCAAGCAATTTATATAATTCAGTTTGGAAGGAGGAAAAGGGAAAAGACAGCCCCATTTTAGTGAACAGCTAAATGTATCGTTAAAATATTTTAATTGCACAGAGCAAGCAATTTTGAACGCTTCCGTTGGTTTTTCTTTTTTTTTTTTTCTTATTTTTTTCTTCTTAAGAGCTGAAAGTATAAATTCTTTCATGAGCACTAGCACAATTCTTTACACGGTGGCGACCTGTAGAATAAGTCAACAGGTCGGGGGTGGCTGTCGGAGCTGATATGATGA